GTCCCCTCCTCACCAGCTCCCCCATCTCCCCTGACTAACTCCCCTGTCTCCTCCTCACCCGCTTCCTGTCCCCCACCACCATCTCCCCCCAATCCCATCCTCACCAGCTCCCCACTCCCCCCTCACCTCCTCCTCCTCTGTTTCCTTCAACCCTCCCTTCTCCTTTCTTTTCTTCTCTCCTCCCTACTAGTTCCGCGTTCCTGTCCCACCAGTTCCCCCTCGGTACCTACTGTCCCCCTCCCCCCACCACAGGCAGGTTACCGGGAAAGGCAGCCAGGATGGAGGTCTGCAGGACCCAGGCTCAGAGTATTTCTAGACTCTGTCTCTCCCCTCATTCCCTCACCTCTCCCCCTGGCTTACCTGAAGTGACTCTGGCAGCATCACACCTGGCACCTGCCGCTCATGATCACGCTGGTTTGTCCTCTTACCCAGGCCCTGCCTTTGTGGGACTCCACCCTGGCTGTGGACGCGTCCACAGAGAAGGTCCCCCCAGGGAGCCACGGGAGCCGGGCATGGAGGGGTGGGCAGCAGGGCGGGCACGGGGACAGGTGTGTGGGAGGGAGACCCTCATTCCCCCCTCAATGGGGTAGCACACCTAGGGGCTTCTCAGGCCAGGAGGGCACAGGTGGACCCCTTGGAGGGCTGCGTGGCCGCTGACTGCTACTGCGTGTCTGGTTCTCCCTGGGGGTGCAGTGACCGTTGTCCCCCCCACCCCGACAGTGTGTGTGGGGAGCCGGCCAGCACCCTGCTGACTGTTGGGCTGCTTTCTCTTCTCTCCCGTCATGTGAACCCAGGCCTCTGTGGCCAGGTGTCTGCCAGCCAGGTTTCTGTGCTGAGGGGCTGGGTGGGTTGGGATGAGGCTCACAGGGTCTACTGTTGGCACAGTAAGGCGGCCATGCTTTGGAGTGGGAAGTGCTGGGTCGGACCTAGTCTAGGCACCTCCCAACCTGCCACTCAGACACAGGAAGCTCTCCAAGCTGAGCCGCAGCCTCCTCCTCCCTAAGTTGAAGGACTGGGGAGATCCCGGCCCAGGCTCCACTGCACAAGGGCTTTGGCCAGGTCAGAGTGAGGAGTCCTGTCCTGCCGCATGGGGCTCTGCAGTTCCTGCTGTGTGTGTGTGCATGTGTGTGCGTGTGTGTGCGTGTGTGTGCATGTGTGTGTGCGCGTGTGTGTGTGTGTGTGTGTGTGTGTGTGTGTGCTGGGAGGGGGTGGGGTGGGAGGGTTAAGGGCCCAGGTGGCCAGGTCTGCAGGCTCGGCCTCGGCCTCCACAGCATGGTTCTGGAAGATTCTGGAAAAGAAGCAGACTTGGCTGTGTGTCTGTGGCTGCATCTAGGGTGGGAAGCATAGACTCCGAGCCCTTCAGTGCCAGTCCCTGGGAACAGTGATGTGGCCGGGGTGCTTGAAGCTCAGCCAGCAGGTAAGTAAGGGCTGGAGGGGTCCTTACACAGCTGGCTGGTGCTCCCCGCAGTCTGCAAAGGGCTTCCCCAATGTCTCTTATTCCCCTATATCTCTGATCTCACCCACGAGGAAGCTTGTTTCCATTTTAACGAAAAGGAAGGTACAGGCCAGAGGGTAAAGGTGACACCCCAAAGGCCACACAGCTGGGAAGAGCCTGGGACTCCGGGCTGAGTCTTGGATTCTTAGAGCCCTCGGCTGCTCCCATCCACCTCGATGGTCTTGACAGAGAATGAGACCTGCAGGGCTGTGTCACCAGTGATGGGTGGTGGGGAAAGGCACACACCCCCTTCCCTGCCCTGCACACCGTCCAGCAGCCGGAATGCAGACAACACCTTCTTCCTTGGCACACACAGCTGTGACCCTAGCCTTGATCAGATCCCTGGTGGGAAGAAAGGTCAAGGTAGCAGGCAGATACAAGCCAAGTGTCCCATGAAAGACTAGCTCCTGCTCGGAGAAAACACTGTTGTCAGCTAACGTAGAAGTCGCTGGGACAGCCCTCTGGTTTGCCTGGAGAACCCAGGGCAGCTGTCCCTATAAAATCAATACTACGCAGGGAGAACAGTTGTCATGGATTGAATCATGTCCCCCAAAAGACATGTTGAAGTCCTAACCCCTGTACCTGTGAATGTGACCCTATTTGGGGAAATAGGGTCTTTCTTTGCAGACATGATCAGTTCGGTTAACAAGGTCACACTGGAGTGGGGCGGGTCCTAGTCCTCATCCCTTCTGAGTGTCGTCTTATAAAAGAGAAGGACAGACGGGAAAACAGAGTCATACACAGGGGAAGACAGCATGTGAGAATCTGTCCACAAGGCAAGGAATGGCAAGAAGCGCCCAGGGCTGCAGAAGCTAGACAAGACAAGGAAGGATGTTCCCCCAGAGCCTGTAGAGAGAGCGTGGCCCTGCAGGCACCCTGCATTCAGACTTTCAGCCTCCAGAACTGTGTTACGTCCACCCTAGGAGACTAAGACAACAGTAATCAGAAGTAAATCATGTTTCCCATCAAACGTGGATCCAGGAAATAAACTGAGCTGAGCCTCTGACGGCCATGCAGAGTCAGCACCTGGAGTGTGGGTTCGGCCCTGACGGCCGTGCAGAGTCAGCACCTGGAAAGTGGGTCCAGCCCTACCGGCCTGCTAGCCATTCTCTGTTTGGCAGCCATCCCTTGATAAATTCCATGTGTGTTTTTCATATCATTGAGAACGGAGCTGACTACCACATATTCCCCATGTGCCGTTACTGTGCCAAGGGCCCCATCTGCATCATCTTGTGTGGTCCTCAGGGCTGCCCTGTGAGATAGTGTCACCCTCATGATGGACCAGGAGATCGAGGATGGAAGTGTAGGGAACCAGCCCCAGGTCCAGTGGGCTTTGGACTCAGACCTGCCCCTTGTTCTCACTCACTTAACCGTTCTAAGCCTGCCTCCTCCTGGCCAGAGAACATATTAGATTCCCTCTTATCCGCCACCACTGCTGTACTTTTCTAGATTCTGATAGGATGGCCGAGACAGGGACGCACAGGGGCATGGCCCACACCATGATGGGCCCCAAGAAGAGCACTGTGTTGTCTTGTTCTGACTGGGCTGCAAAGCCAACGGCTCCCATACGGGCAAGGGGATGCCCTTGGTAACCTTGGTAAGTATCTTTAGAAATATTTTCAATATGGAAAATTTCAAACATGCAGAGGTGGTGGAGTAGTATATTGTGCCCATGGATGTGACCCCTCCTACGGTTACCAGCTCGCAGTCCATCTTGTTTCCCCTCTGTCCCGCATGTTCTTGGGAGGCAAAACCCAGACACCTTGTCATCCCACTGGAGTCTGTCACTCAAAGATAAGGTCTCATTATAAACAGATAACCACAGTCCCAGGGTCACATCTAAAACGTCGTCATTCCTTAGTGTCATCTGATAGCCAGCCAGTGGTCAGATCCCCCAGTTTCTCATTTTTCATTACTTTGTTTGAATCAGAATCCAAGTACGGTCCATACATTACAATTGTTGAGATGTCTTTTAATTCTTTTCAGTCTATAGGTTTCTCCTCATCCGTCTCCCTCCTTTCTCCCTCCCTCCTTCTCTTCCACTGTCTTCCCTTTTCCTCTCTCCCTCTTCCTCCTTCCTACCCTCTGTCTCTCTTTTCTTAAAATCCATTTGTTGAAGAAACCTGATCATTTGTCCTGTA